GCAAAGAGTGTCTTGTTACCATTACAATTATACAAACTCCATTTAGCAGGCATTGTAACTACAAACATTACGCAAACACAGCTCTGTGAATTTTTTATTGATTCTAACTGTTAAAGCACATCATTAGCCTTTACCCCCTTATGTGTATCATGCAATGTGTTGCCATGTTCTGTGCCTCTTTTCTATTCTGCCCTTAATGTTGTTGTTTTTTGCCATATTTGCATATAGCTTTTGAAACCATGTTCATCTATGCTTTTTTTTTATTGTATCTAGTGTACCAAACCTGTACTGCCTCCTTTTAAAATGCCTTCATTACATGTGCATAAATATAATTTTTGTAACGAAAGTGAGCTACTGCGACCACTCTATGTATTTCGTCACCACCACTCTCCCTGCCTGACGTAATTGAGGAGTGGGAACTTCGTCAAACGGCTTGTCGCTTTTTTTCCCACACTCTCCATCAACACTTCATTGGTGTAAATAAAGTTATATTATTATTATTATTAGTATTATTATTACTATTATTATTGTCATCTGTTAATTGAGATATAATAGAAGTGTATTATATGTACCCATATTTTTTCTCCCTCTATCTTTGAATTACATTTAGGGAAACCGTATGATATGAAAGCTGATTTACAGCAATTCAATACTTTATAGTCTCCAATAATTCTAATAAACTTTTTTGGCTGGCCACTATCTTAAGTGGGCCATAAAATTGAAGCGCACTCATATACACTCAAGGGACATATTTTGCACTTGGTCATGAGGGAGGAGAAGGACGAAGGAGGAGGAGAAGCGTGCAGAACAGCATGCGTGGAGTAGCTTGACATGCGTGACATAAGCCGTAATGGAAAGCTACAGTTTCATGAAATGGCATTGTTTGCGTTGCTATGTTAGAAGAAAGTTGCATCAGCAGCTTTCTATGTCGGGAGCAGCGGGCGTCTGGTTCCGGAAGCTGTGACGCTAGCACTTCATGGCATGAACGTTGACCTCGACGACATTCAGTGAGGTTCCTTGGAGGGGCTGCAGCCTCTTTCGGCATTCCGGATGCACTAGCAGCAGTCTCCCATTGAACATCAGTAGCAGGAGTCCCAGGGATGCCAGAGTTATTCAATAACATGAGTTGCGAAACTGCGTTCCGAAACCCGGCCACGCCATTGGCCGACCTAACGGGAGTGAGCCGATCGTCGCGCCACCTGAAAGTGACAATACAAAACACTGCATCGCCACTTGTGCGCGTGCTTTTTTTTTTTTTTTAAGGCAGCTCAACACCGCATGCAACACTGGCGTTGTCGCCTCAATCAATGGCCTTCCGCCGCCGCTGTCAGCTGTTTTCGCTCTGCAAAGGCGTAATCAAAGCCGAGTCAAAGCATCAAGGTTTATTTTGTCGAAGGTGGTGCTTGCAATTTCGTGCTAACATGGTTTTAACGCTGCGCCCTGAATATTTCTATCACTCCTCGCTTGCTCGCTTGAAAATGTGCGCTTGAGATCGATTGCTCACGGGAAGTTTGACGAATCCTTTTAACTGTTTCTCTCTGCGATTCACGATGTGTCTCACTAACACGACGGGAGTGATGGCCGCACAAACAAGACACAGATACGGTAGAGTGCAAACCAAAGCACAACAGTACCGATCAGTACTTACCGCGAATCGGCCACTTTGTCTTGCACGCAGCGGTCAAATTCTACTAATCGCGAAATCAATGAGACACCGGCTGGGATGCCATATAATTATGAAAGCCCGATGACAAGAAAGTGGGAACTTGAACATAGCTATTTACTTGCAACTAGCACTGCAAGCGTTCCTTTTTCTTCAGGTGCTATGTTCGTGGAGTCTTTCCAACGACACCGGCAATTGCTGCTCGAGCAACGCCGTCTGCTGCCGTTGACAGACTCACAGATTGGATCCACCCGGATCAATGCTGCATCCCGCCTTGCCGCTCACTATTTTGCCGAAATGTAAACCTCGTGTGCTCGCTACATGAATCTGATAAACTACCGACTTCGCTGCACCGTTCATTACGCTGTGCTAGCTGTGTACCACACGAACATGCCGCTTATAGCCACGTTACTTCTTGCGCAATGCGGAAAACATGAAAAAAGACACAACATCAAGAGAACAAGCAGCTCCTCTGTTCTTTATCACGTGCCATTGTCAAATGGGAAGAAGACGCGGCGCGAAAGTTTGTCCCAGAGTTTCATGTAACTCATCAACCCATCATCATCCGTAAGTCTGTCCCGGCACTTTCTTTCCCCCGGGGTCGTGTGAGGGGGACGTTTTGTTTCGGGCAGACGGCCATGCCCTGGCAAGGGGGCCACTGCTCGGCGCCAGGCGCCAAACAGACGGGGCCTGCCTGTCGTCTCCACCACTGCGACAAAGTAACATGTTCAGTACCTTTAGGCACCAACTCACCTATAAGGACAAATTCTAGGCGCTGCCGTGCTGTTTGGCAGAATCTGGCGGCGCTCACAATCTTGCTAAACGCAAAAACACAAAATATTGTTTTCTAGTAAGTTTTCCCATCAAAAGATGGCGCTACAATCTACTCACTTCCACCATTCCAGCCAATTCCCTGTTCGGATGTTGATACATGAAGCTTATGGGGAATTTCGCAACTCGTATGATTGAAGAACTCTAAGGAATGCCACGTGATCACTTTGAGCAGAGGCCAAGTTTGTCCTTTAACCAAACCAACGAAGACACCCTGCCTGGTCAATGTCTGCGATCTGGAAAAAGCTTGCGGCAGCTTGTTTAGCCGCTAAGCATCAAAGTGTTGATTGCAGGGAATGCAGTCACCTGCAGTTGTCACACTGAGCAAGCCTGTAGGCGACAATAGGCTCACTCGGACTCATAATATTTTCTCAGACTTTCCGAGACTGGCAGGCCAGTCTGACTCAGAGCAAGTCGTCGGTGAGTAGACTTGTGCGTGAGCTTGCTGACCTATGCCCTTAATGTACCTTGCATAAATCAAACTGCACCATTCACTCAATTCCGCTAACCCATACAGTCTACTCTCGTTACAACGGACTGTCATAATTTGATAAAATGGATCCGTGTTAACCAAAGCCCATAATATCTAAACTTCGCTCAAAGGGGGTGGTGTTGGTATGCATGTCACCGTGTGATGATCGTTTCCATTTTGCTGGGCAGTGTATGGCATGCTAGTTCCACTGATACATGCTGATTGTATTTGACAGCATGGTCATAAAAGACTTCAACCACCAGCAGTGTTTCAAAGAAAATTGCAATGCATGTTCAAAGTGAATGAGTGCCATAACAGTAGTTGAACGGACGCTATGTGTCCTTTGCCCTTCTGAAAAGCTTAGCACAATAATAAAGAGTTTCCAGCATTACCAAGGCACTTCTCACATTAATATTCTAATTTGACAATGAAATCCACGTGCTTGGAGCGTGAGAATATACTCTTCAGGGCCTTGGTCTTGCTTTCTGAACTTTTGGTTGCTATGCCTAACATTACTACATTAGGGATGCATTTCTAATGCAAAACCAAATTAAAAACTTTTTATTTACACTTAGATCGAAAAAAAGTTGTGATAAGAGATTGGTGAGACCCTTCAGCAATGATGCAATGACTTTGCGCCAGCATTTTAGTCAGCTGCAACGCTTCAACCATTGGCGGGACCAGCGGGCTCTCGGACTGCTTGGCTGAAGGCTTGACTTGGCCGGAGGCCATCGATGTTGCCAGCCGCAATTTTAAATTAGCACATAGAGAGCAGTGGGGCCAATTTATTGTTGGCTCATGTGAACATGGCAAAAGTACGCTCGATGCACCTAACTTTGAAGGATAATGCTGCTAATTTTGTCCACTGTAGCCGCTAGGTTTTGTTGTGGTCTGCTAACAGCAGACTTTGTTCCAATAATTTAATACATTGGCCAAAGTGTAGATTTTACCGTTAAAACAAGCACAGACTGTACTGCAAATATTAGCCACCTCGCTTCGGTCTAGCTGAACATTTGCTTTGTTGTATTTTTAAAGCAGCCAAGTCTAAATTGAATTGCCTGCTTTATCTTGTGGACGGCGAAAAAAAAAGAGACAGGCAGTGGGATTGATTGATATGTGGTGTTTAACGACCCAAAACCACCATATGATTATGAGAGACGCCGTAGTGGAGGGCTCCGGAAATTTTGACCACCTGGGGTTCTTAACGTACACCCAAATCTGAGCACACGAGCCTACAACATTTCCGCCTCTATCGTAAATGTAGCCGCCGCAGCCGGGATTCGATCCCGCGACCTGCGGGTCAGCAGCCGAGTACCTTAGCCACTAGGCCACCGCGGCGGGGCACAGGCAGTGGGAATGCAGGTAACAATCTGCCATCTTTATAATGTGTAGCCCCCATGTATGGTATATCTGATGATTCATAACTCAAGCTTGTGATAATTCAGACATTGTCACTGTATAAGCATGCCGATTTTATTAGTTGTTCATTCATCATCTCTGTTACCAAACAAGTGCATGAAATATAGTTCTTGGCTAGGCTCGGATTTGGCCCTCGTGTGTCAAGAGAAAGTGTCTCAACCACCCCAGATGTGGAGGCATAATCGTATGAATTGTATGGTAGAACAAAAGCCCTCTGCTCACACGTCTTGCTTTGTGATTTAAATGTCTTGACAAACATGTTTTTGGTGGTCATGCTAACCAAGAACAAAGTCCCATGGAGTGTCTGTCATAATAAAACTCGGTGCTTACACATCTCTTATACAACTCTCAAAGAAGATTCTGTGTGGATGTTTTTGGTTTTGTCAATTAAAGTTCATGAAAATTGTCTATGGTAACTGGGCTTTTAGTTTTTTTTTTTTTTTTGCCATTCCATTTTATTGATGATGCGTAGCTGACATGAAAATACCCATCATGGTTTTTTTGTGAAGTAAAGATATTGTCACCATGATAATAGAAACGCTGCAGAATGGCTCCACACTGTTAAATTCTAGATATGATGTTTGCACTAGAATCGTTGTATTGTTGCTGTTTCAGTTTGGTGTAAGCATCGACCGAGAAGCCCACGAAGGACTCTACAGCCTCTATTTCCACAACTGCCTGGTTGGTCCCCTGGGATTCCTCAACAACTCTGCAAATATCTCGGTGAGCATTGCCCTAAGTGCCACTTTTGTCATTGCTTCGAAATGAGCACTAAAAAGGATTGGTAGTTTTTTGGTAAATCTCGGATGACGGCAGAATGTGGGATGTTCGTTAGAGAACCTTTGGAGGTCGAAGTTAGCCTGAAGGCTGCAGCATCCTTCATAATCCTTTGTAAATTTTCAAAATCAGGAGTTTGAGAGTTCTTTGTTGCCTTCACAGCAATGTTGCTGCACATATGATGAAATTTTATTAGAGCAGTGTGGAACTTGTTGGCAGCACAGTGATCTTTTGCTTCTGTTTTGCATTTTGTTCGACCACGTTCTACCTATTTAAGGTGCAATGACCAGTAAAGTACAAAAAACAGAGGTGGAGGCGCATTCGCTATCTAAGGCCATATTGGGAATGACACAGCTATGCCGTTTCCTCGCCAAGCCCACTTTAAGGCGCAGTGATTCTATCGCTGTGCCAATTGCGCCAAATTGTGTGAAAGTGCCCTGTTTGCTACATCCAGCTACATTTCCTAAAACTTTGGTGAGTCTGCACCCAACCTGCACCCAAGGGTGTACCCAAGCTTTCAGAAACGATACTACTTCAGGTTTTCCCGTGGAAAGTGGCACCACTGTGGACCTGTGTACTCGTAACTGGATATCCATGCTAACTGGGTATTCATGCCAAGCCAAGTTAAATTTAGCGAAAGGTAACTGTTGCGATGCAGTCAAAATCTGATTTTTCGAACTTCCTAGGGACCATGACTTCATGCTTTTCCATTCAACTCAAGCGGTGAAATCGCCACATCCACGTCTGTAGTAGCTTCACTGCCTCCCAGTAGACTAGTCAAGCATTTTGGTGCCTGCCCAGGCTCTCATGAACAGATTCAGGACCTGCCGCGAACCCTATTTAACTAGTGCAGGCCAACCACCAATTTCAGATTGGCATCTTGGGATGAGCTCTGCTGCTACCAGCAAAGGGCGGAGTGATTTATAGCTGTCTTACATGGAACGTTTGGAAACGATGATACGGAACACAAACCGGACTCAAAAGTAATAGAGCTCATTGGAGGAAAATTGGAAGGGGTCACATGCAATAGTTTAAAGTGAATGGATTAACGTATTGTTCAAAATGGTTGCACATTGTTGTATAGGTACTGGATCACCATTCGGTGTGCTTAGAAATATAGTGTGAGCCTCTTTAGTCCGAAATATTTTCTGAAAACCCTTTCGGTTACCCTTCGGCATGTTAGGAAGTGTAGTGTTGAAAAATGAATACCTACAGGCTTTCAGTGCTGCTGATTAAGTGGGAGCTGCATATTTATAAGCCTCTCATTTATGTTGACATTGTGAATGCTTTGCAATGCGAAAAAGGCATTTTTTGTTGTTGGAAAGACGGTTCAGTGATCTGTTGTACCATGGTGCTTTGATGTTTGAAAAAACTTGTTTGATAGGAATGAATTGTTTGTTTATTTTCCTTTTGAACATTTTCAAGTTCAACTCTAACGGACGATTGTCGAAGCTTGTCAAAAACTGATCCAAAAAAGTTGAGAGCGCATTGTTAATAGCATCGAGGTTCCTTCTCCTGTATTCTCTAATTGTTTGAAAGCAGTTGCATGATGGTGACAATGATAGAGTGATAGAAAAATGTTAAACATTATGATCACTTAGTCTTGGTGAGTGAACCACAGGAGAGAGGAGATCAGTAGATGACGTGTGGGCCAAATCCAAGAGCGATGACGTAGTTTTTGTTATGCATGTAGATGAACTGACGATCTGGTGCAAGTTGAAACCAGCGCATGATTCAATGAAGCAATTAGCTTCGGATCAGGAAGGCGACGAAAATTAATATAATCTTGACCAACAGATACTTGGGAAATTGAATTCGCCTGTTATAATAATCTCAGCCGCTGGAAACTAAACTGTCACTTGGTTGAGGCAGTCATACAGGTTGTTGCAAAATGACCGAGTGCTTGAGGGAGCACGGTAACAAACTCCGATGACCATCTTTTTCAAATTAATGCTCAGACAACACCATACAGATTCAGTGTCACACTTTATTGGAATAGAAAAAGACTCATAACACTTGTTAACAGCCAGCAGAACACCCCCACCTCTAGTGTTAGTGCGGTCACATCGGTAAATGTTATTTGCTTTTGTACGATTAAAAAATTAACAATAAGTGGACATGTCTTACTCTAGGAAAACCTACCAATACGATGTGCACGGGGTATGTGCTCTCGTGTAATACCGAGTGTCAACTTGTTTGCAAGAAAGTCAAGAATTTTTTTTTTTTTTTCTTCTGATTGAGGTGCTTTGTCTGTAGCAATATCTGGTATGTTATAGAAAAGAGTAGATTATTATGACGAGAGCGATCTTCGATATCATCTAATCGCTACACCACCGTTGTTGCACCGGGAGCCCCACCATTCCGAGAATTGAGTCGTGGTGCAGGGATGTAAATTCCCATCTCCTTAAATTTGCAAATGTTGAAAAGTTCACATTTGCAAACCTGCTGTGTTGACAAAACGAACGCAGAAAAAGAAAAAGGAAGTTGCCGACTAACTTTTCAGAGGTTCTCTGCATAACGGCAAACGAATTTTCGCTTGCTTTAGACGCGATGTCCAAAGTGACTGAGAGCAACAACTCCAATGTTGCACACACACCATGCACGATCTTGTTCTTGTAAACGATGTGAGTCGCTGCTTTCATAATCGGAAAGTTGTTTCCATGCACAGTAAAACCTCATTAATTTGAAGTCACTAGGGCTGCAAAAAATCTTCTACTTAAGTGGGTTTTTGAATTACCAGAACATTCAAAAAGCGGGATGCAAGGAGCTTAGCACTGTTCAAGGTAATCAGTGCTCATTGTTTGCTGTGCCGGCTAGCTTGCGGCTCGAAGGGTTATGTTTTCCAGCAATACCTGGTCTTAATTTTGCTGCAAACACGGGGAAACAGTGGGCCTCTGTACTGCTAATGAAAAAAAAAAAAAGAAAACCTGCTAGAAAACCTGCTTTCGTGATCAACTGAAATGTGCACCTGTGAAAAACAAGACATCTTCACTGCAACACAGTAGTGACATGCGGGCAGCATATCGCCAGAGTCCTTCAATGCTTTACTGCTCACGAAACTTCGGCGCTAGTTTCATATAGGGTCCGCGGGTGCCACTACTGGCGCCACTGTCGCACTGAGGGGATCCAGCCGCCGCGCGTGCGGCATATTTGCCAGCTTTTGGCATGAAAACGCTCGCTGCTTCTGGTTTCTGCGCGCTGAGTTTCTTTTTTCTTTTCGTAGTTGTTAGCGATGAATCGCCCAATTATTGTGTATACCACCTGCCTCCGATGGGATTTTATTTTTTCGAATAAATCGCCGCAGACCTCGGCCACGAACGGCAACTGCTTTCGCGTCTTTGGGCGCAAGCGCTGCGCCGTGTTTACCAATTTTAAAATATCTTTTGTTTGTTTCCTTCAAGAAAACTTTGTAACCACAATACATACGGTAGCTCCGTAGCTGCGAACTGCTGCGGGCCTATCAATAATGCAACGAAAAAAAAAAAAAAACTGAAAAGAAGCAGGTACCGTCCTTCAGAGTAGGCTTTTAATGAATCTGTTGAGTGCTCTGGAATGCGCTGAGCACCCAGATACCCCAGTAATATTCTCTTTTCGATGAGGTGGTACAGTAACATTTAAAAGTGCTGCATAAAGGGAAAGGATCAAAACACGAAATGATGTATGTTGCACTGTGTGTCTTTCCGCGAACCCGCTTTTCAATCCTTGCAAAAAAGGAAGCGCAAACTTTTATCACATGCTACAAAAATAAATTTTAATATTATGAAGGGAGACAAAAGAACGTGGTGCAGCGTACACAAATTTATTGTTTGCGCTTTGATGTGTAGCACACGGACGAAACAGAATATTGCCACGCAACAAAGACAAACGTAAAGTTCTACTGAATGAAGTTTATTAAAGCGAACTCATGCTCTGCAAAAGACTAGAAGGAAACGCAAACGTTAAAGAAGCAGTCCGCAGCGTGGCCTGCAGAGAAGACATCGATAAAGTGAGTCACGCGGCATTTGCTATGCATGAATTGCTCTCGGGACGTCATTAATTTTCGATCCATGAAAATAGGGTCGAGAATATTTTCGAGCAAACAAGAAATCAAGTTAGTGACAAGATGACAACCTTTCCATATCAACAATATTGCCCGGCGCGACGTACAAAAAAAAGAGCGAACGGGCGCTTCAGTTGAAACACCAGATAAAAAACCGGAAGCGGCCACGCATGGTTACAAAACAAAAAACGAATCCTGAGCGATAGTTCGTGGAAATATTAAAAGTGAAAGCACAAAGACACCAGAAAGGTTTTATTGCATGCGAACCTGACCACAAGGTTATAAATTTTGCAAACAAGTAAGGAAACACAGCTACTATTTTACTGATCAAACAAAAATCCGCCTATAAGTGAGCTATACAATTGTAGGTCCAGGAGGCTCGCAAAGGGCTGCTTTGCTTTTACACTACTCCTTCAGTTTGGCTTTCTCCCTCCACCAGCTGGGCATGTTGCTCGCTTTGTCACACGTGACTGCTTATTTTTTTCGCGTGTGAAAAAGGTGTAGAACTTCAGCAGTCGTCCCAACAAAGTGGGTGGGGCAGCCGACAGCAGCTGAAGCTGTACGATTGTCCAGCAAAACCTGCTCAACATTGCCCATGTACACACCAGCACACGCAGTTTGCTTCACCGTAAATTCTTCTACATGCTCTTCAGCGATTTGGAGGAGGTTTAGCAGTTTGGTGGAGGGGACCTGAAGGTAACCTCTCGACTTCACAAGAATGAGGTAGGTCACTTGGTGATCGTTGCAAGCCTTTTAAAGACTCCACGCAGTCGGTGCAGCACATCTCAGAAAATTTTTGGGCAACATAGCCGGCAAGGTAGTCTAAAATGCACTCCTTTGGAGACAAGTCCGCGAGGGCCTCTTCCTCACTCTCAGTCGGCTCCAAAAGAACGTCATCCAGGAGAAT